CACCATAAAATCAACCCCCCCGGCCACACACCACCAGGCTACATTATTTAAGTTGTGCCTTTTTAATGTGAGATCACTCACCAACAAAACTTTTATCCTTAATGATCTTATCACTTCTAGAGATCTTGATTTCATGTTTTTAACTGAGACATGGATGAAGCCAAATGATTACAATCAGCTTGCTGAATTATGTCCTTCGGAATATGATAGCTTTAGCTTGCATAGACCCAGTGGCCGTGGTGGTGGGCTTGCTGCTGTATATAAAAAGCGCTACAAATGTATTCAGCTACCTGTGAATAATTTTACAAGCTTTGAGGTACTTTTATTCAAATTCTGCAGCACAGATCCCGTCCTCTGTGCTGTTATTTACCGTCCTCCCAAGCCTAATCCTCGTTTTTTATCTGAATTCTCTGAATTCTTATCCTCTATCATAATGAGCCATAACAGGATTGTCATTACTGGTGACTTTAACATCCATTTTAATAATCTCACACATGGTGACTCCATGACAACTGAATTCAAAACCTTACTAGAGAACCTAGACTTCACCCAGCATGTCACTGACTCCACCCACAGCCTGGGGAATACACTTGACCTAGTAATGTCAAGAGGTTTAGACATTGCTAATGTCTCTGTGACTGACTACACATTCTCTGATCACTTTGGTGTATTTTTAATGCCCTTTTACCTTCACCCACAAACATCAAAGAAATTTTTGTTCGCAAAAGGTCACTAGATATCGAAACCCAGCGCAAATTCTCAGAGTTGGTTACTGTATCCAACCAAACTGACTTAAATGGCCCAGTAAATGAAATGGTTGACTTTTTCAATACCAACCTGACTAACATTTTAAATACAGTTGCGCCACTCAGGGAAAGAAAGAGAACATCAGATAAAATATCACGTGAGCGAAAGCGATTGTGTAGAGCAGTGGAGAGAAAGTGGAGGAAAACTGGTCTAGAGGTCTATCGTAATATTTACAAGAAACAAATATTATCTTTTAACTGTGCCTTACACTCTGCAAGAAGAGCTCATTTCTCCAAGTTGATTACTGAGAGTAACAATGATCCAAGAACATTGTTCTCAAATATAAACTGGTTACTAAATTCTATCCCTGCCAATGACATTCTGGACCAAATGTCCTCCACTAGATGTGAGGAATTTGCAACCTTCTTTTCTGACAAAATTACCTCCATAAGAGCGACTATTGTCATAAATGCTGACAACAGCATTAATTGGCCCAACAAAAATCTCGAAAGCCTATCGAAATTCACTACTATCTCTGATCAGGAACTTCATAAGCTCGTGAGTGAGAGTAAGACTTCAACATGCTGTCTTGACCCAGTCCCCTCCATACTTTTTAAGAATTGTTTTAACTGTATGCTTCACTCTGTCGGTAAGATTATTAACATGTCCCTTGAAACCGGTTGTTTCCAGAATCTTTCAAAATTGCAGCTATAAAACCTCTGCTGAAAAAAACAAACCTAGATGCTAATGTTTTAAATAACTACAGGCCTATATCAAATCTCCCATTCTTAAGTAAGATACTAGAAAGAGTTGTCTTTAACCAAATTATCTATTTCCTGAACAAAAATATTATTTTCGAAAAGTTTCAGTCAGGGTTCAGGGCAAATCACAGTACTGAGACAGCCCTCACCAAAGTTGTCAGTGATCTCAGAACTAGCACTGATGCTGACAAGGTCTCCATTCTAGTCTTACTAGACATAAGTGCTGCCTTTGACACCATAGACCACAATATTCTTATTGACCGACTTGAGAACTGGGCTGGCCTCTCTGGGTGTGTTTTAAATTGGTTCCGCTCATATATAACGCGAAGAAAGTTTTTTGTTACTATGGGAGATCATGTAACAGGGATATATGAATTACCGTTTGGTGTTGCTCAGGGTAGCTGCCTTGGTCCTCTGCTTTTTTCACTGTACATGCTTCCATTAGGTGACGTCATCAGAGAACATAACCTCAATTTCCACAGCTATGCAGATGACACCCAACTATATATTTCACTAGACCCAAGTGATGACCAATCCATCTGTCATCTAACATCTGGATTGGCTGCAGTAGACAAGTGGATGCAAACCAATTTTCTTAAATTAAATGGTGACAAAACCAAAATCTTATTAGTTGGTCCCCAAGCAAAACGGGAGATAATTCTTTCCAAACTTGGCAGTTTGGCTATGCAGGTTAAATTTGAAGTCACGAGCCTGGGTGTTATCCTTGACTCAAACCTAAATTTTAAATCTCACATAAAGAAGGTGACCAAAACAGCTTTTTTTCACTTACGAAATATTTCAAAGGTGCGATCATTCCTATCCCAACAAGATGCCGAAAAACTGGTACATGCATTCATTTCAAGCAGACTTGACTACTGTAATGCTCTCTTCACCGGTCTTCCAAAGCAATCCATTGACAAATTACAATTAATTCAGAACTCTGCTGCCAGGCTGTTAACTAGAACAAGAAAGAGAGAGCATATCACCCCAGTTTTAGCCAACCTTCACTGGCTTCCAGTATCTTTTAGGATTGATTTTAAAGTGCTTTTACTTGTTTTTTTTTGTATTTGTCTGTTTTTATTTTGTCGTAAAGCACTTTGAGCTACACCTCCCTGTATCAAAGGTGCTATATAAATAAAGTTTATTATTATTTGGATGTATCCACAGTCCAAAAAAAAAAAAGAATTCCCGTGACTGATTGAGCATTATAACTTTTAATGAGCAGAGTGTGGAAGAGAAACAGGAAACAGATCGATAGTTCAAGAAAAGTTTAAACCATGCTGACTTTTGGCCTAGAAAACTGTTGGCAGGAATTCAGACCCAAAACAGCCCTGCTTTCAAACAGCACAGGGGACAGTGGGAGCAGATCCAGGAAGTCCAGTGTAACTGACACATCTGTGAAAGTAATGCTTCTCAGTAATGCTTTTTTTTTTTTTTTCCTGTTAAAGGGGTTTTTTGGGGAGTTTTTCCTTATCCGCTGCGAGGGTCCAAAGGACAGAGGGATGTCGTATGCTGTAAAGCCCTGTGAGGCAAATTGTGATTTGTGATATTGGGCTTATAAATAAAATTGAAAATTGAAATTGATGATAAATTGATGATGTTATAGCCTTGCTATATTTATCTTGAACTCCCTCTATGATCATTTTCCCTAACCCTGCCATCGAAATGGAATCGAAAATGAATAGTTTTCAAGGTATTGTACTGAAGTGGGAAATTCCCGAATAGTAACAACACCTTGAACAGTAGTTCATAATAGCTACTGAGAGAATTTTACAATCACTGAGGCAACTATTTTATCTTTGTTACAACGATCAATACAGTGTTCATGCTCCAAAGTATTCTATCAAGAATATCTGCTTGCATGTATCTGATTGGCCACTGCAGTGTTTAGCTGGATGACATTGTGTTTAATTGCAGCAGAAGTATAGTTTGGTTCTGCTTCAGCCCCGTTTCCATCAAGCAGTCCGGTTCAGTTCAGTTCAGCTCAGTACACGTTTTTTCCATTTCCACCATAAAGAGTTGTGGATGGTACCAATGGAACAGTTCCTTACTGTCCCTATGATTGGTCATCACGCTAGTGGGGTACCAAGCACACAGATCTGGTACTAAAAGTTAGAAACACTGCAGTCCATTGATTGGTCAATAGAGGATGGTCACTCTTGCTCAGCGCTCAGTTGTGGCTGGTTTTGAAGCTTATGTGACCACTGTTTTCTTACTGTGGAGAGTTTTATATTATTAATGTTTTGCTGCCTCTAGCAGCAGCATGCAGATTGAGAAAAAATTATTAAATTCCCTGGGCCGACTGTCAGCAACTTTTAAGGTGGAACGTTTACTTGTAATGTTACTCAATGTATGAGGTGACGATGTGAATCCATCAGCACACCTTAAATTTGATGTGACAACTTTGACCGTTCCATTAGTTTCTATTCTCTCTCTTCAATGACATACACTTTTAGTAATGAGGGGATCTTCAATTGTTTAAAAATATGTATTAATTTTACCCAAATTATGTGAACTGCATATATTCGAATCCTCACTTGGAGGAAAAAAAGTGTTGTGGAGCTTCATGGAGCCATGTGGAGCGTTGTTCCTGTGGGCTCAGGCAACACATAACCCCTGCACTTGCCTGAGAAGAACTAAATGCACAAACCCGCTATTTTTAATATCCCATCGAGAGAGACTCCCACTCTGGCCTGTTCTATTTTGTTCTGAAAATGTCGGCGTGCAACCCCGTTCTGTGGACGATCAAGGAGGTGCAGACTTCCCTCTGTGTCACTGGTGATGAGGAAATACAGCGAGTGCTGGACGGAGCACTGAGTGACAACATCCCCGCCCACATTTAAGAGTACTGTGGAAACACTAAATAGATCTAGGGTCTAGGTACCATGTCTGAAGGGTTACTTTTGGTTCCAAAAATACTATACCAAAAGCATTTGGTGGAAACGGGGCTTTATTTCCCAGAGCCCTCTGTGTTGGCACCCCTGCTGCCTTGATGTTACTGGCCTCATTGAAAGAAATGAGAGGGCTGCTTTTTTATCATGAGGTGATTACCCTACCTTACCCTAAACATGAGTGATTCAGGAAATTTCTCAGAGGAACTCTGAGCAAGAAAAAGACAAAAACTTTGACCTCAGTGAGGAGGTGTGGTTGACCCTGTTGCTAGGTATGATGCATTCTTTTAACAGATGTGATTGGATGCATTTCATTTACTCACTATCATTCTGTGTTTCTGGAGAAACACCCCCCCCCCCCCCCCCCCCAAAAACAGCAATTTTTGTCACTTATCCTTGAACACCTGTCATCTCTCGAACACCATTGATTCAGATGGTTTTTGTTTAACGGTGAATAAGGTATTTGAATAAATGAATATCACTATCCTTACACACAGGCATCAATGATGGGTAATGATTTCTCTTTCCACACACACACACACCCCCCCCCCCCCCCCCACACACACACACACACACACACACACAAAAACAACCCTAACCATATGATAAGAATACATATCATCAATGCAGACAAGATATCACCATGTCTTCTAATGTCATTCTCGGCAGGACAGCAAATAAGTAAAATTTCCATAATATACTTCATAATCTCTTCATATAGCTACTACCATATTACAAATTACAAATGATTTTCTACTTCAAACAATCACAGAGGACAGACAGATTCCCAAAGGATGGGGAGGAGCTCATTCAGATGTAGGTTTGACCCCTGCTGGTAAGTCAGTCCTCAGAGAAAAAGGCTTGCAGAGTCTTCCCCTTGGAGATGTACTTGATGCTCTCGATCTCACCACCATAGTTGCTGGGCTTCTGGAAGTGGATTTCCAGATGGTCCTGCAGGTCCTCCTCGTCCTCCTTGTCCTTGATGTCATCCAGGAGGATGGTACGCCTTGGAGCGCCACAGAATGTCTGAAATGAATCAGCAATATCAGGTTAGTCATCACTCTGTGCACACTTTTTCTTATTCAGAGTGACATTAAGAGATGGATACTTATGTTACCACTGGCACGAAGTAAAACTGACCACAGCTGTTCATCTGGATCGGATCAATTACCATTTGATACTAAAAGGATTTAATGTGGCTTCAGTTTTTTATGCCAATGACAAACCGATATTACAGGTGAGTGATACACACTTCAGTGTATTTCTTTTACATTACACTGTTAATATTACCTGGTGATTTAAACCAGGCAAAAAATGCAGAATAAAGCAGTTTCATGATAAAAAACTAGAATTACTGCCCCACGGTTGTATGCCTCCAAGTTTCTCTTACAGTTTACATCCATGTCTGTAAAACCATGGATGCTTCACACACATTGTCCCCCTGACAACACAGAAGACCTATACAATCAGTACAATTTCAAAGTGGACCCCCAAGATGAGAGTGACCAATTCAGTATCTGACCAAATGTCTCCCCCTCTGCTCCTGACATATGACATTGTGTAATGGCCAGAAAAAGTGTTTAATGCAGAACATTATGATATCACTTTAAAGCTGAACTTTGACCTTTTGGATATAAAGTCATCACTTCATAATTTTATCCTATCAGACATTTGTGTGAAGTTTTGTCCTAGTTAGCATAAGATTTCTTGAGATGAGAAAGAATGGTTGATAGAAACACACTGAGCCAAAGAACGAGCCACTGCACAGCCACAGACTCTCCTTCGTAGTTAAGCCAGTGGCACAGTGACATACATGACCCCTGAGCTGAAGCGCAAGCTGCTGCACAGCCACAGACTCTCTTTAGCAGCTAAGCCAACAGCACACACAGTCTACAACTGCACAGCACACACACCCCAAAGCGACACACAACTATAGCCTCTCATTTAGCTTTTTTTTTTTTTGCACCCTCAAATTCAATGTTTTAAAGGCGCTGTATGTAAGAATGTGGCCAAAACGGTTACTGCACTCAAATTCAAAATACTGCTGCGAGTCATAAAAATCTTTTTTTAAATGCGAATATTCTGGCCATACTATTGTTGTCGGTGAGATCAGTATGTTATATGAACATTATTCCTTAGTCTCTGTGACATATTAGGAGGATTTTACGACTATTTGCTTTAGATTTCTTACATATAGCTCCTTTAAATGTAGACACCAAAGTGATGTCGTGCCCTGAAAAATAGGCTCTCGGGAACACGTGCACACTGTGACAGCTGCGCCCTGAGATAAACAGAGTTCAACTTTTGAAACATAGCAGTGCACATTGCATGTCATGGTGAGTCAGCAATCACAGCTGACAGATATCTTTCCCTTCTTCCGTAAATATCAGTCTGTGGTAAATATGGAGAAGAACCTGATCATTTTAGTGCAGGGCTGCCAGAGCTTTATATCTGGATTTCTGGCCTAATACAGCACCTGGAAGCAGATCGGCTCTACACTCAGGATTTCTTGTAAGTAGGCTGTGATAGAGTGGGCGTTATTGTCGCTCAGCAACCTTTAGACGCAACCTGCCTCCATACCCTTGAGAGATGGCACAGAGTAGCACCCAGCGCCCAACCTCGCATTTTCCAGGTGGTTAAAGATGCAGCATGTATATGGCACCTAAGCCAGCAACACACACAGTCACAGTCAGAGCACACACACACACACCATCCGAACCAGGGAACAAGAGCCGCAGCATGGCTAAGGCGCAAAGCAAACACCCACAGCAGTGAGCAGTAACTGCTGGCAGGCCAAGTAGCCGATTTGACCAGAAAGACTGAAAGATCTGTTAGTAATGGCTACTTAGCTTGTGTAAATATGACTGTGACATTCAACAGAAATATTTATTTAGATATTTATTAGACTGAGAGAGCTCAGAGACGTGGCAAACTCTCTGTTCACATACATTGGCCAAAAGAAACAACACAGATACTATGCACTCTAATGTCAGTAGTGATGTAGTTTTTAGGGAAGGGGTTATGTTAGGGATGGCTCCAGTGAGTCATCAAGCATGCTTTTAGGGCCACCCAAAAAATTCTGGACACAGATATGATGAAAAACAATTCAACAGTCTAACTTAACAGTTCAGCACTCTACAGTTCAGTCTTTTCAGGTTTTCAACCAGTATTTTCGAACATGAATAAAGTAAAGAAATCAGTGATTTTGTTTAACACAGACTTTAACAAACCCATTTCAGCCAGACAGTAATTCCTGCTTCATACAAAAAACAAATCCCAAATTATGTTAGTTTTCATTCCTTTGAAATAAAAAAAAAAAACAAGGACATTTCTCTGGCATTGACGCTTTTTTGGTGTATCGAAAACATACCAAATTGTGACACCACTGTATCATATCGAATCAAACTCCGTTGCACCCCAGTGTTTAAATTGTAACAAAAAGTACTGATGTCAAATCTAATTAAAAAAGATTGGTATCACCCATGTGTAGTGAGTGCTACTGAGCATATTGGAGGACACTTTTCAATTGTGTGAGTAAAACAGGGGGCAGGGGAAGAGTGCAGGCTGTATGGTGGTTGTGGTGGAGAGCATTATTTACGAATGACTGAATATTACTGTGGTATACAACCACAACAACTGTATCTTACCTGAAACTTGCGCAGCTCGTATTTGTAACTGGGTCCAACCTGCATGTTCACTTCAGAGTCCAGATCCACATGGTAACTTCCTCTCAGTGCCAGCCTCTCAGCAACTACACACACACACACACACACACACACACACACACAATTTAGCATTAAAAGATCCATTGGGTTTCTTCAGATCTGACAATTCTGCATCTTCCACATCTAAAACAGCTTACACCTTGAGAAATACACAACATTGGAAGATTTCTGTATCTGACCAAAACTTGTGTTCAAAGAACCAAGTGTTTGGCTTCCCTCCATGTGGCCAGTGCCCAGACCTCCCCGCTCATCCTCCAGCAGACACATGTCTGCCAAATGATAAGTCTCACCACCGGGATGGCACCAAAAATAGGTGCCTAATTATTCACTCTGCTGGAGTTACTAAGGTCACATGATTTAAGATGGTTGGTTTCACAGGGAAAATTCTCTATCTCTGAAGATCAGGCATGAACATAGTGCTGAGGGTATTTACACCAGCCACAATGAAGATTGTCGTGGTAAAAGAAACATGACTGTTCCTTTATTTTACAGAAATTGGAAGAATCAATCAACATAATATTTGATCTAACTGCAAATGAACAGCAGGTGATCAGTGAACTGTGAAATCAGTACACGCTGCTACTGCACTCCTTCCTCCATTTGATAAGATGTTAACAGTTTTGGTTTGGCTGCATTCACCTCAGTGTTACTGTGACCACTCTATCTCCACCCTTACACCCAAAACACACCCAAGAGAGTGACAGCCCAGTCTGTGTAAGCTGCTGCTGCTCTGAGCCTTGTGGCCAGAGAATACCTGCAGCCAGTGAACGGAGTCCTGTGACTCCTGTGACATGTTGACCATGTTAAGAATCATTTATTTCTGCCTAAAACACATAAACACACCTCCTGGCTACAGAAAAATGTAATTCAGTCAGGACCACTTTAGTCAAAGAAACCTTTATTTCCATTTGCAGTATTATATTTGGCAATATGGCTCTGTTCTGGGACCTCTCTGCCTTTTCTAGGACCAACGCAGAAAGCCTAAGGTGGAGAGAGCACACCTCTCTGCCCTTCCATGTTCCTACATGGAGAACCTAAGGTAGAGAGAGCACACCTCTCTGCTCTTCCATGTGCCTACATGGAATGCCTAAGACGGAGAGAGCACACCTCTCCACCCTTCCATGTGACTACGTGGAAAGCCTAAGGTGGAGAGAGAGAGAGCACACCTCTCTGCCCTTCCATGCACATACGAGGAAAGCCTATGGCAGAGAGAGCAAACTTCCCTGACCTTTCATGCACCTACATGGAAAGCCTATGGCAGAGAAAGCAGCAGCAAAGACCCCTGGGAGCAAACAGAGCAAGCATCAATGAAGAACAGAAAAAACATTGATATGTCAGACACAACATGAAAAGGAGGTGCTGGGGTGGAGGCGGGTTGCAAAGCAGCTTGCAGAGGAAGAAGCAACAGTAGGCAGGCTAAAGCAGTTTAAATAGGGCACCCTGATTGAGATTTGCCAATTGGTTGGATAGAAAGGACTCGTGATCTATCAGCTGACTGCCTTCCATCAGTCAGCTGATCCATCAGTTGATTGGGCTGCTTGAGATCAGCTGATGTAGCTGGGATGTGAGTTGAGCTTGACATTTTATCCTGCCTGAACTAATGCTATGCTAAATTTATTGCAGCGAGCTGCACGATGTGTTTTTGGTGTTACCTGCTGCACTCTGAGCTGAATCTCTAACCCTCTCCCTTTGCATTGCTTTAGAAGTCTTAGATGTTTATTTTTTCATACAAAGGTTCCAACCTTGTCCATAAATACTCTCGATGGTGCCCCCATTCAATGTGTGGATAATTATAAATACCTGGAAATTTGGTTCGACAAAAGTCTCAGTTTTAAACACCATATGGACTATGTCACAAAGAAACTGAAATTCACTTTCTGCACAGGCTAAAGTCCTGTTTTTTCTATGACATCACAAAAAAGCTTAGTTGCTGGCCTATTTCTGACTCATTTCGGCGATACTACTTACATATTTGTCTTACATATTTGTCCACCTAGTCCAAGCTTGACCCCCCGTATCACTCAGCCCTGAGGTGTATGACTAAATCTAGCTTCAGGACCCATCATTGTACCTTATACAGCATGGTAGGATGACCATCTATCACTTTGCGTAAGTTACAACACAGGTACATCCTAGTCTATAAGATCATCTCAGGTAAATGTCCGACTCACGTAAGTTTCTATCTTTACATAGCAGTCATGATCTCAGGTCACACAAATGGCTTCAGTTTAAAATGTCTTGCCTCTTGCCATAAGTCTCTTCTCCTACGGTCCTTGTCCCTGGAATGAGACCCTTATCTCCAAAACCTTTTCTCTTTAAATGATTTAAAATTTAGAATTAAGGAATTGGTAATGGCTTGCTGCAGCTACTTCAATTAAGGAACAAACTCTAATGCTATATTGCTTGAATATTGCTGCCTTTTTAATGCACTTTATTATGTCATGTATTTTGACATAGCTATTGTTGTTTTGGTGATTTGCTGTTGTTGTCCTGCTTGTGTTGGATCCTGTCTTGGCTTTATCTCACTTGCAAAAGAGGTTTCAGTCTTAATGTGACTTCCTAGTTAAATAAAGGTTATATTTTGCACCCCTTTCCCTACTTTATCATTTCTATTCTAACTATGCTTGACTGTTATTTAATTATTTATTACAATTTTACTCACATATTTTAATAATCAAAGTCATTTTATGAGTAACTGTTACCTTGATTGAAATTGATCTGCAGAAGAAGTAGATGTTTTGGAATGGTCACTTCCTTATGTGCTTGGTGACCTCAGACAAATCCCACTGCTGAACTTTCCCTACTGAGCCCTGAGGAGTTAATCCCTGGCTTAGTCCAGGAGCTGTCTATCTAATGAACCTAATCAGGTGCTAAATACACACAGACTGTGGCTGCAAATTCACTGAGAACTGCACCGTTATTTTAGTAAATGTGGCCCAGAGTTGTACCTCCAGGGAGAAGGAAGGTGATCTGTCCGGTCCCAGTGTTCTTGTCGTACTCCACACTCTCCACCTCTCCCCCTCCTCTGCTGGGCCTGGAGAAACTCATTTCCAGTCGGTCCTTTATTCTCTCCTCTGGCATGGAGGGGGGGACATTGGAAAGCTTGAGCTCCTTTCTGGAAACATCAAGGTGGACCTACATCGATGAAGGCACATACTGATTACAGGTAAGTCTTCAATGGTCACTGCAAAAAAAAAATACTTATCAATGCAATGTGAATAGACCATATGTACAATATGTAGCTGAATAACAGTATGACACATACAGCACCATTGTTCTGTATGTCAGTATTGATACTGGGAAATTAGTTGAGGTGTCCTCTGACTTCATGTAGTCAGTTTCTTGGGGAAAATGAAACTGAATCCATCAAATTCCCACTAAATAAGATTTGATGAAGAGCTGGTTAGGACATGTGTTGTACATGTCCACTATGAAAGCAATGGAGCAACAAAAGTCTTCCCTGCTGCTGAAAAAGCAAAAAGATCAGTGATTGAATTTAAGTCATGTAAATTTGGCAACTATTCTGATCACTGATTTACTGCTATAAATAGATAAAAAAAAAAAAGTACTGACACATCGGACTGGATCTGCTGTGAGCCACATAAGTCAGGAAACATACTGAATAAAAGGAGGCAAATGATGGGAGCAAGAAGGTCAAACTTGTGCAATGAAGTCATTTACCCATAACACTGTCATTTCTGACAGATTTTATGTGGAAATGGAAATGCAAATTTCCAGGGGTTCAATGATGTTGCTTTTTAGTTGAATTCTGTTTGTCTCTTGTTGATGTGCAACAACTCTCAGATCTGGAAGTACAGTCAATTACTGTAGCATGATTGCTACACATGTGCGGAATTTGATATGATCAATAATGTGATGTATCTGTCGTACATTCATACCAAATCAATACATTCTACTGTACTCAGATGGTACAGCTTTAATATCTCTGATAGGTGACGTGGGCAGGCCTGGGCTGCACCAACACAGCATAAACTAAATGATACAGTGAAGCGATAACAGTGCCCTTGAGATTAACACAAAGAAACCAGGGATAGTTCACCGACTGTCGTAACATTTATATTGTTAACCATAGTAAAACTAGTATTACCGCCCAGTGGTTGTATGACTCCGTGTACAAGACATCCATGTCCTTGAAAACATGGATGTGTCACAAACATCTATCAGGATCACATCTATCAAGAGCATCAAGATCTATACAATCAGCACAGTTTCAAGGTGGACACACAAGATTAGTGTCACCAACTCAACCAAATATCTCCCCTTCTGTTCCTGAGATATGACATTGAATTATGGCCTGAAAAGTGTTTTATGCAGAACATTATAATGTCACAGTGAAGTTGACCTTTGACCTTTTGAATATAAAACATCATTATTTTATCCTACTAGACATTTGTGTGAAGTTCTGTCTGTCCATTGACACAGAGGCATAAAAAATCTGTTATTTTCCTACAAATACCTGAGGGTGATGACAGAACATTTGTTATCTTGGAAGGACCACACTGAATCTGTCTGCAAAAGGACAAAACTAAGAATTTATTTTTCTCTGCTGCCTTAAGCCTTTTGGGGCAGAGTAGAAAAATTCTTCTTTTGTTTTTCACTCCTGTGTGATTATGAGTGTTGTACTGCTCCATCTAATGAAAATCTGCTTAAAGGTTTAAGGTCAAACCCTGGACAAACTCTATTAATCAGCCTAACATAACACATTATACAATATTAAGGCTGGCCAACAACATGGTCTCTGACTCTACTCATGTCCTGAACAGTGAACAGAAATCGTTGCCATCAAATCATTTTAATAAGTTTAGACTGAAGCTCTCATTTGTGCACCAGTCAATTCTAAAACTAAATATGGACCTGAGTCCCAGTTCTTTGATCTTGTTAAATGTTTGGCTCTTTCTTTTCTGTCTTAAATCTTTGTCCTTTTGATATTGCAAATGGAGCTAGTGTGAGGCAAGAAACATTTCGGACTTGATCTGTAATGAGAGTATCATCATTATCATCATCATCATCATCATCATCATCATCATCATGTGGTTCTATGTAAGCCTGTGCATGCCCTGTTATGGGCAATTTTATCTCTACCATAGGTGCTGCCTGGATTGGCTCATCAAGGCTACTGCACCTGAACTACCTCAGATGAAGACGTCAGCTACTTTATATTACAGCCTATCACAGTAAGTCATGGAGCTTTCTCCTCTTCAAACAGGATGAGTCCTGCCTGCAACAGCTGCGGCTGTCTAGCCAAAACATATTCAACCACTTGTGCATGTGTGTGTGTGTGTGTGTGTGTGTGAGTGTTATGTAGCCATACTGAAAATGAAAAAGCACTGTCACTATATCAAAATGTACCTCAAACTTTACAGCAGGATCCATGGTTATTCTTTTTGGTTTCACATCCAAAGTCATGTTCTCACAAGACACAGTACACTTGGCAATCTTCAGGATCTGCGAGGCCACTGGAAACACAAAACACATAACACATACATAGTTCTTTACATAATATGTACTGCAGAAGAAGTAGATGCAAATTTCTTCAATATGTTAAGTAAGATGACTTTTTAATTTCAATCTCTTACAGTTATAACTAAATAAAGGAAAAGGGCCTGATGCAAAAGTTTGGGCACCCTGCATGGTCAGTACTAAGTAGCACCCCCCTTGGCAAGTATCACAGCTTCTAAACACTTTTTTATATCTAGCGAAGAGTCTTGTTTGGGGGATTTTCACCAATTCTTCCTGCAAAAGGCTTCTAGTTCTGTGAGATTCTTAGCCTGTCTTGCATGCACTGCTCTTTTGAGGTCTATCCACAGATTTTTAATGATGTTCAGGTCAGGGGACTGTGAGGGCCATGTCAAAACCTTCAGCCAGCACCTCTGGAGGTAGTCCATAGGGGATTTGGAGGTGTATTTAGGATCATTGTCCTATTGTAGAACTTTTTTACAGATGGTGTGATGTTTGCTTACAGAATTTGCTGGAATATAACTGAATCCATTCTTCCCTCCTCAAGGGAAATGTTCCCTGTGCCACTGGCTGCAACACAAGCCTAAAGCATGACCCGCTTGAGAGTGTCGGCAACTTCAAAAGCCAATCCTTGCCTCTCCTACACTGCGGTGAAGCCCAGAGAGAAGCCCGCTGCAGCTAGCGGTAGCTGGGGAGAGAGGATGGAGGACAGAGTTTCCCCCTCTATTCAGCCAACTCCTCAACTCAGAGGACTGTGGCAGTGAGGATGAAGAGGATGTAGTTGCATCATGGGCCTGGCCGTGGCGGGGGAGAGATCGCTGTGGCTAAATCTCTCCAGCCTGCCGGACCAAGATAAGCAGGTCATAATGGATTCCCCAGTTGACCAGTCACGGGCAAAGGGTTTATTTGGGGAGGCTGTAACCTCTATGAAGCAGGCTAGCAACCTGAGAAAGAAGCAGGGGGAGGCTTTCGATCTCTGCCTTCCCCATAAAGCAGCACCTCGCCTACTACCGCCAGCTCGCCCAGGCTTTGTGGCTGTGGCAGCGAGGGTACACAGCGGGAGATTCAAAGGTCCCCGTTTCCAGACACCTGAGCAGCTGCCGCCTCACCAGCGCGGTGGTCAGAGTCAGAAACAGTGGGGCAAAAAGTTTTGCTACTGCCGCAGCCATCCCCGCTATGAGGCATAACCGCTCCTCTTGCCCGCCGGACGGGAAGAAGAGGCAGTCAACTTAGGAATGGTGGTTATTGGTGGGTTCGGTCAAAAATCTATAAATTATATTCGGGCTCGGGTCGGATTTGGTCAGCTTTCAGTGAAAATGTAGTGTAAATATAAATAAAATCCTATTGTCTGTCTTGTTTATTGCTTGGGGACTGTTATTTACGTGACAACACCTGAACACAACACACACACACATTGGCTGTTTGTTTCTACCTCTCCCCTCGCTGGAAGCCTCGGACCTCCCGCCGCCCGCTCCCGTCTCAAACATGGAGGTCTCCCTCTCCGCGGAGCACCCACAGTGCACGCCCAGCCTGTTAAATAGCTTGTAACCATAACAACTGCGTGACACAAACTCAGTGCTTTAGTCATTACATAATGTCGGGCTCGGTTCGGTTTCTGACAGAAATATGCGGCCCGTGCCGCACTCTAACACACACACACACACACACAAGGAAAAGCCGACATTATCATCAATTTATAAACACCCCCCGGATGCCCCGGACAGGATGTCAAAAGTGGACATGTCCGGGCAAAAGAGGATGTTTGGTCAGCCTACTCACACACAATGTTCTCTTCCACTTGATTGGACCAAACTACTGGTTCACATCAGTAGATCTGCAGGATGCTGATTTTCACATAAGTGTATATCCAGCGCACAGAAAATATCTCAGATTCACTTTCCAGGGCGTAGCCTACGAGTATCAGACCCTGCCATTCGGGCTGTCACTCGTCCCAAGGGTCTTCAGCAAGTGTGTGGAAGCAGCTCTAAACCCTATGCAAGCCGTGGGTATCAGAGTGTTCGCATATTTGGACGATTTTCTCCTCTGTGCGAGCAGGAGAGTGGAAGCGGAGAGAGACACCCAAGGCGCTGTTAAGCAGGCTCTCCAGCCTGGGCTTGTGTAAATCACGCAAAGAGCATCTTGTCTCCCACTCAGAATACAGAGTATTTGGGCCTCAAAATAAATTCTGTTTCTTTTCGGGCTTTTCTGTCACAAGTTCGAGAGGAAAATTTTCACTGTCACTTGGCTCTGTTTCTTCGGGGAAACTTGGTCTTGTTGCGAGCCTGTCTCCGCATGACAGGGCTGATGGCCTCGGTCATTTCAGTCGTTCCTCAGGGGTTGTTGAGAATGAGAGATTTCCAGCGCTGGGTGTCCTCCTTACACCTGGATGTACGACGTCATCTCAGTTGTATGGTAAGGGTTTCCCCCGAAGCGTTCTGGCTCTCCGTCATTGGAGAGACCGGGGCGTGTTCACCACCAGCATCCCCCTGGGAATGGTGGTTATGAGGAAGACGGTGACAAGGGATGCTATTTCACTGTTAAACAAGTTAGTAATATGCGTCTCTAGGCGGGTGCACAACGCGCGTGCACTCTGCTCAGACACACACGGAGCAGTCACAGATATGCAAAAGATAACAAATAAAAATATGATTACAATGTGAAAGGTTATTATTGTGCACATTAAAATATTTATCAGAAACACGTCTTAATGGTCAGTCATTAATCAGAATGATCTAATCGCAGTAATAATGATCATCATAATCCGGGAGGTCCAGCAGTATCCGAATATACGGAACTGCGAGCAGACCTCCACGGGCTGATGATGCATAGCCTGTAAAATGAACTTGTCTTTCCCAATTGAATTGTGATCATTTTGGCATGTAAATCACAAAATCAAAGATGTGAAAACGTTTGATAAACTTTATTTTGACATAAACACAACAATAACCAGCTTCTGTGAACTAAAAACGTAAACTTATAGCCCTACAAGTACAAATGTATATGTGAGAAAAAAAAAAAAAAAAAAAAAGCTTTTAGAACGTAAAACTGAAGATCATCAGGAGGAGGAGGATGACCCCAGCTCCGCAGCCAGCGCGCAGCCAGACCAGATGGGCCCGGGTGCAGCCACGGGACCAGGCTTTCCTGCACCTTCAGGCGAGGGGGTTCAGGATGCTGGAGAGGGAGCTGGGCTCTCTAACCTCCCGGGTTAAAATAAAATAAATTGAATAATTTACAATTTGTTGACAGCGTTTCTCTCGTGCGCGCGCGCTCTCTCTTTCTCTCTCGCAGTCTCACTCTGTTTCTTTTCTTTTGACATTTCTAAGATGACAGATGCTGAATATATACTCCCTATCTGATGCTATGGCTGTTTGTGGTTGGCTGAGAGGGATGTGAACTTATTAGTTTGCAGCTGTGTTAATCAAATCAGTTTCGGTTTCTATTACGCGTGCCAAACGGTGCCAATCCCCTTTGATCTGACATCAGATGTGACGGGACAGTCCATATAGAGATACATTTATCATCTCCTCAGCTGTAAAACGCTCACTCTTTCCAGTTGGTAGGTCCGCCATCTAACTAGCTCTCCGCCATGCGCTCCAATCGCGCCTCTTTTAAAGGGAGGCGCTGCACGCCTGGTGCTTTGCGTTTTAGACCATCTAAATAGGGCCCCTAGTTTCACAGGCGCACGGACAGATTTTTCACCCACATCCCACGCGACTGGCTCTCTGGGCTTGGTACGTGAGAGGTTAAATTTACATCAGTCGGGTCTCCCGTTAAGGGTGACTGAGACTATTCAGAGCGCGAGAGCACCGTCCACACGTTCATTATACGATAATAAATGGCATGTATTTGAGAGTTGGTGTGAGGCCAGAACCATATGTTCATTTGAGTGTTCTGTGTGAGATACATTATGCTTCCTGTAGGTAAAGCTTTTTCCACCATTAAGGTTTATTTAGCTGCTATTTCGGCCTGCCATGTGGGTTTTGGGAATGTGCCGGTGGGAAAGCATTCCCTGAAAAGGACATTTATGAAGGGTGCCCGCCGGCTGCGGCCTGCATGCAAACCTTTAGTTCCGTCATGGGACTTGCCTACTGTTCTGGAGGCGCTCTCAGGGTTGCATTTCTAGTCCCTAGACTGTGTTGACTTAAAGTTGCTCTCCCTGTATCCTGTTGCTGGCTATCCTGTTGCTGGCACTGACGTCAGCCAAACAGATAAGTGAGTTACATGCGTTGTCTGTGCACCCATCCTGTCTACATTTTAACCCTGACTATGGGAAGGTGAAATTGCATCCTAATCCGGCTTTTGTACCTAAGGTTAGTGAATCTTCCTACAGCTGCCCCACACTGGAGCTGCTTGCTTTTCACCCACCGCCTTTTGCGGGACAGAGGGAGAGGCAGCTTAACTCGCTATGTCCTATCAGAGCGTTATGCATCTACATGGACAGGACTAAGGTCTTTACGAAGAGTAACCAGCTCTTTGTATCTTGGGCCCCTTCTCATAGAGAAAGGGCTCTGACTTGCCAGCGCCTGTCTCACTGGGTGGTGGAGGCTATAATTCTGGCTTATGAGAGTTGTGGACTACAGCCCCCGGAGAGCCTGCGAGCTCACTCCACCAGGGGTATGGCCACCTCACGGGCCCTGTTCAGGGGCGTTTCTGTGAGTGACATCTGTGCTGCTGCTAGTTGGGCATCCCCCCCACACGTTTATTCGGTTTTACTGCCTGGACGTGACTGCACCTTCACTGGCTCACTCAGTCCTGAGTGTGGTTTCAGGTTAACTGTGTGCTAGCCCTAGGGGAGGGCTTGTGGTGTCGACCAGTGTGGGTCAAGGTGTAAGGGGCTTCGGAACATGTAAATCAGGAGTGGGCCACATCTGCCATAGTGAGATACTGAGCGAGGTTTGAAAGAGAACTTTAAGTTACCTGGGTAACCCCGGTTCTCTGCCCTACTTGCATAATGTGGGGTACGTGGAAGAAATACGCTTGAGAATGACAGGCGGGATGCTGCAGACATTTATAAAGGGGGACGGGCTGGCCTGTGGAACTCAAGATGATTGGTCTGTCTCCCGACAGACATGGTGTTATTGGAGCTTCCATGATCGGTCACGCCTGAAGGCGCTTCCCATAGTGCGATGCCTCACTCAGTTATCAGAGAACTGGGGTTACCCTGGTAACCTAAAGTTTTCTTGGTCTTCTGGACCTCAACTTGACCTCCACAGTTCCCGTTAACTGCTATTTCTTAATAACATTATGAAGTGAGGAAACAGCTACCTGAAAACACTTTGCTATCTTCTTATAACCCTCTCCTGCTTTGTGGGCATCAGTTATTTAAGTTTTCAGAGTGCTAGGCAGCTGTTTAGAAGAGCAAATGGCTGCCAATTGTTGGGACAAGGTTTCAGGAGTCAGAGTATTTGTAAAGCTTTAAAATTTGCATCACCTGGCCTTTCCTAAAGATGACTGTGAACAAGCCAGAGCCCTTACAAGCTCATCAAGGTCTGAGACCCTGGTAAAAGTTGCCTGAGAGCTCAAATGTCTTGATGTTTTCAAACTTAACTGCATAGTCCTCCTTTCTTTTTTTCATTCTAAAATTGTACAAAACAAAAAATAATACAGTAATCTTGCTTAAAATGTTGAAAAGTATGTTCCATCTTTAACTACTTCATGCCATTTGGAGATTGACACAGCATAATATTGCATTATATTTGTGTGGCAATATTACATTGATACACCACCATATGCCAAGTATCATTTTTCATTATAATATAAATTATCAATATTACAAGTACAAATTAAACGTTTGGAAGGCTACTAGAATAATAAATCAATTGCTTTTTTTCAGTCCACTAGATACATGTTGCTGCAATAAAAATTACTGGTTTGAGAACAGATTAAAAACTCCATCGCATTTGCTTAAACATATATAATTAGCAGTTGAAAAAAGACGATTAATCATTTATATCGCAATCACACGAGAGGGAGTGCTGTTGTACTGTCTATCAGCACAGCTGTGATTCGGTTGTAGGCACAAGGCCGCAGGCTGAGTGCTTAAGATGGTTACAGACGAAATTTGTCTTTATATTTTTTGACACTCGTTTGAAATGTGCTTGTAAATACACATACAGCTGTTATGCTGCACCCTGGTGGTTGGCTGTATCATAGTGTGAATTCACTTCTATATTCTACACTGGTGACATAGCTCAGCTTGATTACAACTTGCCATTGGTGTCTGTGAGTTTAAGTCGTGGATGGTGCAGATTAAACGTGCTTTTGCCTCCTCAGACATTGTGCTGTGTGTTAGAAACACGTGATTTCCAAGATATTCCAAGGATTATTGATATTTCTTGACCCAGAAAGTTCTAGTGATGGATCCTCATGGATTTGTTATTTGTCATCCTTCTTTTCTTCCTTTTGCTCTTCGTCATCCTCTCCTTCTTCTTCTGGTGTTTAATTGCCTAGCTTTGGTGACCATATACTTAAGAACATGTTAAAGCTTTGTTAAATTGCTGCTTCTTCTCCCATGTGCATGTGGGTAAGTGACAATGTTGCCACCTAATGTGAGCATATTTGTCACAGCCACTCAGCCCAGAACACAAATAGTTAATATCCATTATTTCTGGGTTTATCAATATTAAAATACAAATGAAAAGTCAGCTACTTATCATATTCCAGTCTGTTACACAGAGGAGTTGATAAAGTCATGTGTACCTTTCTCTTCTTCAAAGGTGATGAGTGCCTGTCCTCCCTGCAGAAGCACAGTGGGTCTCTGGCTGATGGCAAACACTCCTGTGATTGGCTGACTGTCATCATCCCCCTCCTCTTTATTCTGACGGCTGAACTTCACTTCTGTGTCTGGAATCTGGGCATAGATCTGGACAGGTGGAAGAACACAACACACTGAATTACAGAACAGTTATATCTGTTTCTTAATAAATGTTATGTTCTATCTTTTTATTCATGCTATAGTTTTCTTGCTAGATATGGATATGTCAATGTATTGTTATATTAATAGGATGCACTGTTACTAATCAGTATGTTTAAATGGATACAGTGACATGCTGGTGTAGTTAGGGAAGACCAGTTTGAGCTGGTAGACAGTTCTTTAGACTTTCTTCATTCCCACCTTAAATTTCTGCTTCAGTTGGGTGGACTCAACCCTCTTGGCCTCTAATTCAGCTTGACATCTCTTTACTTTGTCCAGCAAATCCTGTCTGCGCTTACCAAGCTTCAGGATTTCCTCCTGTGTGAAATGATCAAGTGAAAAAATGTTGAGAGATGTTTGTTACGGTCTTCTCTCAGCAGCATGCAGATGTTACAGAGATGACAGTATCTGTACCTGCACTGTGTCCATGCTCTGAGTGAATTCCTTCTGACACTCCTCTTGCTTTTTAACACAAGCAATCATCTCCTGCTGGGCCTTTGTCTTGGCTTCATCTTCTTCCAGTTTTTCCAGTATCAGCCTGGCTTTGACATCATCAGCTTTCTCTGCTTGAGTCTTAAAGACACAGAGAGACTATGAGAGACCTGTGGACAGTTTGCATAGAGGCTGTTTCTAACAGGAGACAATAGTTCCAGTTTCAGATGTGGCGGATTACCACATTAGCAGGGGCGCCATTTATAGAAAGTTGCTGTTGGAGTTTTAAATGCATTTTTATACTGTAAACACCTCAAACTAAATTCCATACATCTTAATTATATTGTGGAGGCAGAAATCTGAGAGACAGATATCTTAAGCTAGACAAATAAAATCTAAATTATCTGCAAGAATTAATTCCACCAGAGGGATGAAAGAGATAAAAAAAAGTCACTGAATTTAAGAACAAAACAAAATAAATTGAGTGGTGACTTGCACATAGGAAACACTGAAGAATATTTGGTTGAATGAATACTGATTTCTGTCTTAGGATAGTCTGAGTCAAGGACCATTAACAACTCAGTAGCTTGTCTGTTCAGACACAGGAGCAAAAGCCAGGGTTCCAGTCCAACCTTTTATTCCAGCATAGTGCAGCGTTCCCACACATTTTCATGGACAACATTTCAAAACTTTTCCATTACTTTTCAAGGACACATCTTGCCAAACCTATTTGGTGTTTTTAAACCTGACAGATTCAAACTCTTGTCAAACATAATTTCAGCTAGCTGGCATACATGAAGGGAGAGGAGAAAATCAAGAAATGTATGTGATGATAATAGTTCTCAATTTCAATAAGCAAGCATAGTCCAACACAAGCCATTTAACTTCACAACTTTACTCCTGAGACCTTATAATCCCCTCATATGAAGATATTACATATAAGGTTTGTCACACCTTATACTTAATTTTGCTTAACTTACACCTGTTGTCCTCATTTGTGGAAACTTTTTTTGTGCCACGTCGTGGTTGCAAAAGCACAACATAATAATCCATGTAAAACAAGATGACAGCCAGCTCTGCCAGGTCAGTCCGCAGCTTAACCCAACACAAAATTTGACAAGGTACAGAACCTGATTAAATTTTATGGTTGTAGCTTGTTTACTTATGCTCAATAACATCTTAAGTTTGATATAACATACAAATTTGACAGTTTTAGCAATTGTAACCAGATAAGGCAGAGTAAATGAGGAAGTACTTGTTTGAGGAGATTAGGTTGTTATCATTGTATTATTGCAGCTTTTAATTATGTTGCATTTTTTTTGCAATTTTGCGTTTGCACAGCCATGATCAGGCATTGAAATTAACAGTTTTGAACAGTTTTAGAATTGAACAGTAACCCCTAAACCACAGAGTTACATAACACTTAACAAATGTTGCAATGTTTGTAATATTGGTTTTGAACAAAACTATTCAGACACATGACATTTTTATTATGTGTATAGTTTTATTCTATATGTATTTTCTGAAATAGTTTTATACTTTGGTGGTGTATTTATCTGCGGAGACTCAGCCCTCTGCTGGAGTTTCTCCTTTTCTTCCTATTTTCTGTGTTCGGGATGTTTATGGGCGCGTACCCCCACAGTGCTCAGGTGAGGGCGGGGCTTTACAATAAGGAAACGACCAGGTGCCAGACTGTAAGCAGCAGGTATCCAAGAGACACAGCACTGAAAAAAACACAAAAATAGCAAGCCAAGATGCCAAAGCAGAGTGAATCTTGGGGTTGATTTTTACTTTCACTTTCATTGGTGAGCATGTTTACAAACAGTAACCAACAGTCCTGCACAGTATACCTTTAACTAACATAATCACGGTGTAAACTTAGGCATGATGAAGTAACTTTCCACTAATGAACCTTATCAGTACCGTAAATACACAGTAGTAAATCAGTAGTATTAGTAGATAAACTACTAGAGCTACTATGATTGCATTTAAACCCAGCAGCACAAATATCAGTGACTAATGGTATGCCATTGTTGGTTCAGTGGCATAAGTTGATCCCTGGAGTTGTATGTCACGAGTGTTCTATCGACACACCATTTCCTAACAGCAGATGCACCTTGAAAGTGATAAGCCATTTTTTGGACTAAAGCATATGCAAAAATAAATATGAGCTACTTTTATGACAATTACTGCCATAAATTATGTTTTTATTTCTGTCTTTATTCACAATGTAGCGCAACCTAGCACTGTAAATAAGGGAATGTATCATTTTCTCTCATCAGTACTGTTGTTGGGATATGTTCTATGGTTTTGAATGACAGTAAATGAGTTTCATACACTTCTATCATTGCCCATGTAACAAAAGTCTATGCGATCTGCCCAAAACTAATTTCAGAGTTATCCTTAGCTAACTAAGCCCTGCAATCAAAGCCAGTCTGATTAATCAATAACAGAAATATAGAGCAAAGTAACTAATAGGCTACTGATAATATTTGTGAAAATCCATGCAGTGGACAAAAACCAGGCATACGTTTGACATATAATTTATTATTCATCATCAATACTTTGACTGACTGTCATAAAACTAGCTCCTATGCATTTATTTTTGTATATGCATTAGTCCAAAAAATGGCTTATCACTTTAAGCTGCATCTGCCGGTAGGAAATGGTATGTGTCAGGAGAGCACTCACAGCATACCACTCCACTCACAGCATGCCACTCCACTCACAGCATGCCACTCCAGGGATGGGCCTATGCCGCTGAACCGACAGTGGCATACCATCAGCGAATTTTTGATCTCTGCGTCACTCTTTAAACAAAGGGGAACTTAAATTTTATACACATAGCTGAAGCTATAAGAGGGATGAGGCACCCACATGAGGCTTGCCAGCTCTTTGTTCTCTACAGGATTTGCCACAGGTGAGTCGGCTGCCTGTACAGACTCTGTGGCTCCACCCATCCAGGAAGCAGAGAGCCAGGTAGAGGTGGGTTGGAGGGAGAGGGGATTTCCCACAAACACATTTCCCACAATGTGATGAATTCATTGAAAGTACTGACACTATTTAATATTCAATTTGATTTAAATTTTCAAAAAAAAAAACAAAATCACAAGACACTTAGATTTGATGGGGTTGTAGGTTTGCATACATGAGAGCAGCTGTCTGTCAGCAACCATTGAACCAACATGAAGACTTTTTCCTACTGAGACCTGAGCCAAAAAGCATATATATCAAAACACCAGTTCAAAACACAAGCTCAGTATCTACAGCTCACTCAACAACAGGCCTGCCAGTTAACCCAATACACATCTCTATTGCCAACAAAGAAATAGTTATTAGTCAGCTAAAGCTCCTTCTACAGGAGGCTTCCCAAATTTCAGTGGCAATCAGCACTATCCAATCCTTCTCGAAAGGCACCTGGGCTCTTCCTTAATCTTAAAAAGTGTGACTTATTACCAGTGAATAAATGTTCAGTGACTCCAGTCTCTAATATTTCAGTAAGAAACTCTATTATATATTTTGGGGTCCAAATTACTTCAGATATGACATCTAGAGGAGGTTTTACTTTGAACCAGTTATTGAAAAGACCCAAAAGATTCTCAGTCACTGGTTGCAAAGGGACCTGTCTCTGAAGGGCAGAGTTCTGCTCACTAAGGCAGAAGGTATGTCTTGTCTGACCTATGCTGCTCAGTCACTATATGATGATAATTCAATATGTGAATTTATTGATAGGGTACTAAGCAGCCTCTTATGGAAAAAATAAAACCCACATGCAAAAATCTGTGATTCTCAATACAAACAACAATGGTGGGCTAAGTTTTATAGACTCCAGCTCCCTCAGTAACACATTTAAAATAAACTGCATCAAACAGTATCTACAAAATTCTTCTACTTTTTGGAATTTTATCTCTCATCATGTCCTTTTGCATTTAGGTGGTCTTAAATTCAATGTGCTCTGTAACTATATACAAAATATCCCTTTTTAAACTTTCTAGTTTTCATCAACAGGATCTCCTGGCTTGGGCACTGATTTACAAGCACAATTTCTCTCCACAGCCATGTTATATTACATATACATACATATATAACAACTGCAATATTTTATATAAGAACAAGTCATTATTTTATGATAAGCGGTTCAACAATGGTATTTTGTTAGTATGGCAGTTGTTTTATAAAGAAGGGCTTCCATACAACTATTCACAATTTCTCGCCAGATACAATATACCAATGACCCCAAGAGAGTTGTTGATTGTTTTTGACGCTATCCCACCACTCTTCACCTTTGACAGTGTCACTCCCTGAGCCAATTCAGTCTCCATTGGGTAAAGTCGGTTTTTCTTTTAATAAAGGTATGAAGTCCAAAATAAGGGCTTTGTTTCAGGATAATGTGGTTTTGTATTCCTGCAGCAACATTTCATTGGAGTCATTTTGTTAGTGACATCGACTGGATGAAAGTTTGGTCCTTAACACAGAAGTTTCTCCTAATAAATCAAGGTAAAGGATGTCATTTAAAGCAATACACGGATTTTATCCAGCAAAACATGTCTTAAAGAAGTTAAAGGGTGACACTGACGTAAATTTCTCTTTTTGTGAATTATATCCCAAAACGTACTCCCATTTATTTTGGTTCTGTAATTCTACATATGTGCTGTGAAAACATATTGCTAAATCTATAGCTGACAACATTACATCAGATTTTACTATTTACTATAGAAATATTATATCTGGGTACTATGATTACTGTAATAAAGATTACAGAAAGAATAAGATTAATGATGTTTTCCTTATTAATCAAATGACATGAAGAAAAGACATGAAATCCAATACTTTTCAATGTATGTAATATTCATTCATTGTGCAAATTAAGAAAAGGCATGTTGGCTTATTCTGATAGTTCATTTTAAAGCCTATATTGACCGATACCGATGACATACCAATATTATCGTGCATCCCTAAATTTTTCTTCTCACCAAATATCACATTCACAAATGTAAATTTACAAACAAAAGTTTTTCTTGTATTTATGAAGGAGATGGACCAATACTTGTTAACGATTTCTTCCTAACAAAACAAAAAAGCTTTCAAAACAATAAATAAATGCACTATCTTCAACATTCTCAAGTAAGCCTTTTGTCACATCCACTTGCGTCTTTATTTTAATTTTAATTTATACTACATTTGTCTTACTTTTGTTGCCTTTTTCTGTTTGGTGCTGCTTTTAGTTTTTTCAGTGGACCGTTTGTATGTGCATTATTCTGTTCAGATGTGTTTCTGTTCACACTGTATCTTAAAAGCTCAAAATAAAGTTAATTAAACAAATCAACACAGCTGATGATGAGAAGCAAAGCTATCAGTCAGAGATGTCTACAGATTTGCTGTCCCTCCGCCCTCTTTGGTTGAAGCGCCAATATGGACTCAACATATCACATTTGTTATTTATATGAAAGGCCTACTGTAAAATATAGTGGCCTACCTTATTAAAATAAATAAACAATATTTAGTGTCCTTGGTGTCACTGGTGGTGAAAGGTCTGAGTAGGCTACATACTAAAGTAGACCTGTATGTTATTTACCCCGCTTTTTGAACAGAAATGTATAGGCCTACACCTCAAATTATTTTTCCAGGTTATGATCTGAGACTTTGCCCTGAGAAAACCTGTGTATGCAGAGTTCAGCCTCAACTCACGTCAGGGCTTAAATAAAACACTTAAGGTGAACTTGATCGTCTGGGACTTGTACGGTTTTGTTGAGGAAACAGTCAGCTGTTGACATGATATGACTACTTACCTTCCATTTCTCGAGCTCCATCTTGGCCACTTTTAATTCACTTCCTTCCTCCTCCGCACCACCGTCCATCTGAAAATAAGAAACAGCTGTTATAGTTAGGCTACTGGATCACTCAGTCCTTCCGCGATCAGTAACCACCACACTTTTCAAAGCTTCAATAGACTAATCCTTACCTTGCCATTTATCGGGCGGTTATTGCAGATGTCAGCCATGACCTGACGGACGAAAACGAAACTCAGTTAATAAAGAAGACAGGTAAATGCAGTTAGATAGAGTCTATCCTGACCATAAACCCTTTACTAGCTGTTCTATATGTCGCTGATGGTTTATTTTCCCGTCCAAGTGCCGTGAAGTGAAAGTGAAAGTTACAGCTGGATCGAAGTTGACGCAGTTGTTTAGTCTCTATTGGCGCTTCAACCAAAGAGGGCGGAGGGACAACAAATCTGTGGACATCTCTGACTAACAGCCTTGTTTCTTGTTATCAGCTATGTAATGAGTTGTTTTTTTCATAAACTTTATTTTGAGCTTTTTAATAAGGAAAAAACATTTAGGGCTATGTTACAAGCTGAAGCTGAGACAACACTTCGGTACAGCTGTCTGTGTACTAGAGCTCTCTCTGGCATACATCTGTTGATGTTCATTTCAACCCAAACCACTCTTACCCTCACCGTAACCAACAAATCTCTTTCTGGCAGAAAAGCGCTCTAGGCAAACTTCTCCCCAAATCCAATTTGTACGTATCTTCTGCGTTATCAATAAAGTTGCTTTAAAAAAAGAGTCATGACGGGAACGGTCATGTGACCGTCTTGTTGTTCGTGAGGTGTCCCAGCCGTGGTGGGTAGTACCGGCTGATCAGTGCAGTGCCCCAGGTTCTGAATGGTTAACAGCGTCACTACAGATAACAAGCACAGCTCTGAAACATGCTTTGGTTTGAAGGCTCAATTCCTGATGCCATTAACTTGGCAAAACAGCGAAGTTACGTCTTTGTCGTTGTCATTACAGGTATGTGTGTTTGTGTGTGTGTGTGTGCGTCGATTGGCCAGCTAGCTCCCGCTAGCCTGCATAAGTAATAACTGATAAATAGAGCTATCGTGCTAGCCAGCTAAGGTTAGCCGTGCTTGTTGTACTAAGCCATTAGCCACCTAGCATAGCCAACCAACCAACTGGCAAAGAATTGAGACGTGTCGTTACGCATGTAGGAGGAAAATGGCTCTACGAAACCAAGAGCACAGAAACATAGTAACCTCTAATGTGCTGTTTTGTGCTCGCTAACGTTATGTGTTAGCTAGTAACTTAGTTTTGGGTGCTACCGGCCTTTGTAGCCTGTGTTATGGTAACGTTAATGTCTTCACTACAGCGCCTGGTGTCCCTAATAACCTAATCAGATTAACTTAACGTTAGGAGGACAGACCAGATGCTAGATGATTTTACAGTTTGATTATTGATGGGACATCAGTGATTAACTTAGAACGATCCGGGCAGTGGGTCTCCCATGACAGGATGGGATCGCTAATCAACTTTATTCTAGCCAGGTTAACGTTAGTTCAAACGGCACTACTTTGAGCTGGGTCATTATTGCATTATTAGCAATGACGGTGTAAGTTAACAGTTTAACTACTGCAGCTTCCCAGAAAGTATCCAACTTTTAAGAAGAACACTCTGTTGTCATATACACATAGGCCTGAAATACACACACATGCACAAACAGGACCTATACATCCATTTAAATTGAGAGATGTCAGAGTAAGGGGGCTGCCATGAACAGGCGCCCTGACCAACTGGAGGTACAGAACCTTGCTCAAGGACACCTCGGCAGTGCCGGGGGGGACGACGACGACTGGCACCTCTCCAGCTACCCGTGCACGCCCCATACTTGGTCCGTACGGGGCCTAGAACTGGCGACCCTCCGGATCCCAAGCCAAGTCCATATGGACTGAGCGACTGCAGCCCCCCAGAAGGTTTCATGTATTGACAGTGAGATGTGACTTAATGACTCATCACTGTCATTTTCTCTGTTCTCAGGGGAAGATGAACAGTCCGCACAGCTCATGTCCAGCTGGGAGGATGACAGTGTCTCAGAGGCAGCACAGAACTGTTGTGTGGCCATCAAAGTCGATGCCAAGAGGTACATGGTGACATGTTCAGTTAAATGCACGGTGCATGCTACTGAATTTTAGCTGCAGGAGAAGTAATTGTCTTCAAGTTATTGCCGCAAGTGTTTACTACCTAAGCTAACCAAGAGCCCGTGGAAACACTTGTGTCCAAATAGTTTTGCAGTTAGTGTACATAATTCTGGGTGTTTGCAGGCCCCGTTTTGAAACTCAATGTAAAAAAGTCAAAAGTCATTAGATGAAATGAAATTTGAAATCTACAGTAACATTTTACCCATTTTGTTTTTTTAATGTTATGTTTGGAACTTTATTGTCCATGCTGGGAAAATTGTTGTGGCTACATAATAAAATGAGAGAAACAAAACAAAACAATACAGGATAGAAATCAACAAGACAGGACAATATAGACAGAATCAGAAGATGAATCCAAAGTCAGTATTTTAAGTTAACTCTCTCTGCTGATTTATGTTCTTTTTGGAATAGATTACTACATCTAGGGTTGCAGCGATATACCGCTGTCAAGGTATATCGTGATATTAAAATTGAAGTTTACCGTACATTTGCTTGTCTATGATATTGGAGAAAATACAACTGGACAGAAAATGTCAACTTTATTTTAGTTATTTTCAAAAGGGATTTTCTTTTACACATGCTTTTATTAAAAATGGTTTAGAGTTTCAAATATAGTAATGAAAATTTGTTTAACCAAAAAAAAAAAAAAACCTTCCGTTTTAATTCCTTTCAGGGTAATTCTGATAATAATTCTGTAATACCGTGAAACCTCAATATTTTCTGAGATGGTTATCATACCTTGAAAATCTCATACCATTGCAACCCTAACTACAACTGCAGCAGTGTTTCCCCTACCAGTTCAAATAATTGTGTAACTTAAGCAGCATTTATCAAGCTGGTTGTACCTAAACTAGCATGTATCCACCTTATTTTTCATGGAAACACGGAGGCAAAACAGAACGCAGCCAGCTTCCGTTTTTTTGTGCGACACTTCCGGTCCAGCACTCTTACCACTGTGTAAATGGGAATCACCTTGTTGTTTACCTTGCTGAGTTTAGCTATATATATGTATATATCACATTTTTCACGTCACTATATCACCATTTAGACTAATCTGATGTTTGTAAAGTCTATAAACACAATGACTGAACAAACATTACTATTTCTGTGTGTGTAATTAATAACATGGTTATCGTAGATTAGCTGGGCTAACTGTTAGCTGTTAGCCGTTAGCCGTTAGCGGTGTCTGTAATAACTCACTAAACTCACAAAGTGGCCCGTGAAAAAAATATTTTTTCCAGCGGATGTCTTAGTTACAACATGATTGAGCTAACTGGAGTAGTTTCATGTCGCATCCGACAACGGGAGCCTTTTAACGGATGACGTCCTGATGTTAGCTTTGCTGCTAGTGTTAGCTGTCCCTGCCAGCTGCAGCCACTGATGCTTTCTAGACATCGTGATTTCCCATAACTGAATAAATACCACACACAGCAACACAAGACTGCTTTGCTAGCTCAGTCATGTTGTAACGGCTGGATGATTGATGCGTACATGTTGTTTCTGGTGCTATCAGAGCCGATCCGCGCATCACTATGGCTTAATGATCAACTCAGTCAATTAAAACAACCCGTCCTGTGTTAGGAGTGTATGTCGCTGACAGAAAGAAAGAAAGAAAAGGAAAAAAAAGATAGAAAAGCAGCGTACACCTCACATATTTAATTCTCACAGTTGCGCACACGTTTGGCTGGCATGCAGAAGCACCGTCTGTGTGTCTGTGTGTCAAGGGTGTGAGCCGCAGCTTCAGCTGCTCAGGTAGAGAGGCTGTGTAGCCCGGTGTGTTTTTTCGCTGATTCGGTTCTGCAGGTTCTCTGCTGGTACACTGGACACGGGGATCAAGCAGTTTGTCTCACTCGGGATAGATTGTGCTTTTTTGGTTCATAGTTTATGATTGATGTGCGATTTATTCGTGTTTAGAGGGAATACATTTCCATTATAATGGAAACGTGGGCACAGTTATCTAACGTTATACAAAATACACAGACTAACTAACTAACTAACTAACTGATTGACTAACACATAAACAACTGAAAATTGAAAAAAATTAGCTTGCACCATTAGCTCCGGTAAGGGAAAGCATGAGGGAAAGCGGCTGACCGGAAGTCATGCACAAAAAAACGGAAGTTGATCACTATTTACTTCCGTGTTTGAAAATCTGGCCAACATCAACAGTCTTAAACAACACTAAAACCAATAAAACGTTACTGCCTTATTTATTAAGAATTCTGTTTTTGAAATTTAAATTGTTCTTTCAAATATAAAGTCTAAATATTGATACAGCACAGCATCACTATATTTTTGTGTGGCAATATTGTATCATCACACAGTTTATTATCGATTATTTTATAAATTATTTTATGAATACAAGTGAAACTTTAGGTAACCTATTTGAATAATATAATCTGTTGCTTTTTCAGTCCACTACATACATTTTGCTGCAAAAACGGCTGAAGTGAGATGAACAGACTGAAAACTGCTTTGTAGACATAATTTACAGTTAAAAACAGGTTATAAATTGCAATATCACAATATGTTTTATCGCAATACTCCGCATATCACAGCAGTTTAAAATCGCAATAATATTGTATTGTGACTAAAGCATCTTGCTAATATCGTACTGTGGAGCCTCTGGTGATTCCCACCCCTAGTCTGCACCCTGAAAAGCCTTTCTGTTGTACAGTGCATGTCTACCGTTCTGATTCCCAGTGAAAGAAGCAACTCGTGTCTACATCATGATTACACCAGCAACTAATGTAGTGCAGTTTGACAGGTGTTTATCTTTATGGAGTTTCAACATATAATGCAACGTTTGTTTTTTTTCCACAGTGAGCCATGTGTGCAGTTCTCTCAGATATGTATCTTTTTCGTTGTCTTAAATATTTAAATATTCTTGGTGGGTTGAATTAGTGTGGAGCTACTACAAAAGGAGGTTACTGATTATTGACTATCTTTTTATCAATCAGACAATCTTTTCTTTTTTCACATGGAATTATACTATGTTACAGCTCCAGTGAAATATGATCCCATCAGCTGCTTTAACAGGTGCACTGTAATTTAGTCCTTTCTGTGCCCTCTTACATTGTTATCTGCTGCTTTATGATCGTCCATGTTTCTGGATTGTTCTGGTAATCCATGGATTCTGGTCATGGAATGATTCACACATCCCGACCTCAACAAGACAGCCGTATGGTTGCTCCTTCAGAACACAAGCACC